GGCTTATAAAAAATTCTAAAAAAAAAAAAAAAAAATGGGGTAGGCATGTTCCACTGTATTTTCAGTTTGTTTAGAGCTATTTCATAGTTCACATGGGTCATACTTCTCAGGTCAGAATACATGGAAATCCATAATTAAAAAATAAAAAATCACATCCCTGAATATATAGGCAGAGCTTTTAGATTTCCGTTGTCAATAAATAAATAAAACTACTTAAAATTTTCAAATATTAAGCCTCGTACACACCGGGACGATTATCGTGCGCGCTTATCGCCGATGTTTTTCGACGCATCTTTTGTGTTCATACCAAAGAGATTTTCGCAGGCCGAGTGAACGTGCAAATTCACTCCCTGACATTAGATGGCGCTTAATGAAAAACAGAAATACCCCGGTACACATCGAATCCTATTTGATCTGCAATTCCTCTCCATAACAACTCCCTCTTATCGAGATTTTTGTAGTCGCTGTCGCGTTTGTCATAAAGCCCTTTGTGTTCAGACAACAATAAAACCAGCAGCTCTACATTCATCTTGCCTCGATGCATCTTCTTGGTCTACTTACTTCCTCTTTGTCGTTAGGTATCAATGTGTGCTCGGCAAGACCCTTTTGTGCTTGAGCGCCACCAAGTCGTGTTTTACTGTAACTTCAGCAGCTCCAGGCACGTGAACAAAAGCGCCAATCTCATTGGTCGGCCAATTTTTAACGTGGCACGTCAAACCAAAAAAACGAGCCCGAGGCGTTTTTAAAAAAATGATGCTTTTACGCCTCGCGTTTTGCTCGTCGGTGTGCACACTCACATTGGCGCCCTTTGTTTAGTCACGAGGCGTTAAACGTCGGCGATATTTGTCCCGGTGTGAACAAGCCTTTATGGTGTGTAGATGTGAGAAGCAACTCATTTACTCATGTTATTATATAACACGTTACTCCCAGAAATGTAAATTCAGGTGCACACACACTGGGAGATCCGTATGTTTGTGCAGACTCACCATCGGAGGCGGTACAGCGAGACACCAGCTCCCACAGCACCAGTCCTAGAGCGTACATGTCGATCCTTAGGAAGGCGTCCCTTTGGAAATTAATGGCCCCCTCCAGCACCTCTGGAGCCATGTAACGCCGAGTTCCCACCTGTGGCGGGACAGAAAACACAAACAGTGATTCACTAGACAGTTTTACTACCATCCCAGCGGAGTTTGGGGACCATCTTAATGTGCTTCAAATTTACACTTATTTGAACTTAAAATGGCTAAATAGCATTAATTTAACAGATGCTTTTATTCACAGCCACATACAAATAAGGAACGTCACAAGCACTTTATCATAAGAGCAGCAATATTTACAGTACAGTGCCAAGTATAAGACAGATTAGACTAGTTTTAGAATATGAAGCAGCACAACTATTTTCATCATTGATGATAATAAATGTTTCTTGAGCAGCAAATCAGCAAATAAGAATGATTTCTGAAGGATCATGTGACACTGAAGACTGGAGTAATGATGCTGAAAATTCAGCTTTGCATCACAGGAATAAATTACATTTAAAAAAATATTACAACAGTAAAAGTTATTTTAAATTGTTATAATATTTCACAATATTACTTTACGGCATTTTTGATCAAATAAATGCAGCTTTGGTGAGCATAAGAGACTTTAATTTTACCAACCCAAATCTGAACAGTAGTGTTTCTTGGTACAGAAGGATTTTTTTTTTTTTTTTTAGGTAACTTCAGGGCATGCATCCAGATATTTTGCATGGATATAAAGAAGCAGCTGGTCTGAGATGTAGTCAAAGGCTTGGCTTCATCTTTGAGACACTCACCTGGCCGTGTGTATCTCCAGGCGGTTTCCCAGGCTCAAAGTGGACAGCCAACCCAAAGTCTGCAATCACTGCGGTCAAATCCGTCTTGAGCAGGACATTCTTACTCTTGAAATCTCTGCAAAACACAAACCTCAAATCACCCAATGTCTACAGACTTCCTCTTGCGTATGACTACACAGCAAGAGCATTAAAGGTGCAGTAGGAGATCTTGGAAAATGCTAACTTAAGCCTGATAGCACTGAAAGCGGACGTCCCACCCTCCCTGCAATCACCGTCAAAAGCCACGCCCCCTGAACGCATTTACGCTCACAGACCAGAGATAAACTTCAACGGATTTCCCCCGCTCAGGGAGTAGGGAGCAATGAACACTGTGTAGGGATCATATAGATCGGAACACAGTTCATGCACATAGCTCACTTCTAATGCGCTGGCGCGAGGACTGGATTAACCACTGGGCTACATCATGTGTAATTCACCGGTGAGAAATCTTTAAAAGTACTACAATACCAGGAAGGAAGATCTGGTTGTTGATGTTTGCCTGCCATCCTCGCTCTGTCTGCAGTCTGCACAACGTGCGTAAACGCGCTGATGACATATCCTGTCTGCGCGAACAGTAGTGCTGTGTTCAAAATATCGATACGACGATGTATCGTCACAGAGATTTGACGATATGAGTATCGATACAGCTGGCCCTGTATCGATATTGTGGCACGTG